CAAACTATTGACATACTGTATTTACAATGAACATGGGGTCACCACTTCCCTCTACTGTGCAAAAACGAAGCCAAATATCATGAATGCGGCGGCTGCCATCTTGCTTTTTTGCAATCAGATTCTGCACAGTAGCAACCAGAAGTGGAGTGACAGCACTGGACCACCAATCAAAGCTGTCAAATCAAACAAAGTGCACCTCTTTTTATATCATCAAATAACTTTACTTATTAAAAACAGACTTACCAGAAAAATTACCACTCGTACACACATCCATGTGATAATATCTACCAAAACCCACAGAAATCACCTCTGGAAAATAAGTATTTAATTTGTACTTTGAGGTTTTAATGTGGCTCATATCCCTTCCACTAACATGGAGGAAGCAGGATTTATGAGCGATACTGCGACGAGCCACCAGGGGGCGATCGAATTTTGGTGACTTCACTTCTGGGAGCCAATGATCCAAACTACCTAACTTTGACTGGAAAATGATGTTTTTATACACAATATAAATTTTGTTGGAGAAATCACTTGTAATGACAGCATACAGCATGTCAGCAAAAAATAATATTTTAAATGGTTTATTCTGTGTTAGGAAATTTCAAAAACATGTTTTGCTGTTCTTACCGGCTACAGCTGATCACTGATTTAGTATGCAGAAACATAATAATAGACAACTGGGAAAAGTAAAATGTCACATGCAAGTATTTTTCTCTTGAAAAACATTTTTATCAGTAAACACGCCGGATGTTTCACTGATTTTCAGATAACAACATTAAACAGCTGATGTACAAAAGTTAATGACAATCCCAGCTAATGCTCAAATGCCTCTGCAAACACCATCATCTCACAGTAAACAAGTTGCACCTTCAGTGCTCTCACCATTCTTCCCATATCTCTTCTCCTTTCAGTCCTCTTTCCTCCTCTACTCTGGCACTGATCCAATGTGTGCCCACATATCACATTTGCAGCACATCATCCCTCACCCCAAGTGGCAGAGAAACCCAAGTTCTTCATTCATTCATATTATTTACACAAACAAAGTCCTGCTCCGTTTCTGTGACAAAGCCAGCTAAATCTTCATGGCTCTTTCATGTATTGTCTGTTCACAGTTCCCTTTTGTCCCCCGGCCATTGGCCTGGGCCCTGGATACAATGAGTCCGGGAGAATGGAGGCAGATTGAAGGAATGTGCCTCAATAAACCTAATTATGACATGATGACTGCGCTCACCATGGTAGGGGTTTTTCAAAGATCTCAGGCTTATTCAATTAGCCCTTTCCAGGATCCCCTTTCACCAAATAAAGTTATCCCTTTGACTGTTTGCATTACAGAGTGAAATGTGTGCCTGTGTGTGTGTGTGTGCGCGTGCGTCTGTGCGTAAACATGACTGGCCTAAATGGAAATGTATTGGCCATCAACAAGACTCCTCTGTATTATCTGGCTAATTTCACCTAACGAAGTACGGACTCTAAAAGATACACTGTGAAAATGTCAAGCAGGGCGAGGGAGGTGGGGACACAGTGACTGTTTTAATCATTAACTTTGTCTGTAGGGTTAAGTACTATACCACTGGGAGTTTATAACAGCCCAGCAACACGCCTGCAGGGCCAGCATTACTGCCAAATCTACACAGTAAATAACAGATAGAGAATGGAGCAGGGGTGGGGATTTGGGGGTATTAATTTCCTTCCATTTTAACTAACATTTACTTGGATGGAAATTTGGGGGAAAATATCTTCAATATATATTTATATGTCAAATTATAGGCCTTTAGATTACACTTGTATTTACACTTGTATTTGAATACTTTAATACTCTAATACAACAGGCCATGTAGTACATGACTTTAAACTCTCAAGTCATATAAAATTCGGACTCTCGTTAACCATATAACTGCAAATGCTATGAAGCATTATTCAAGAAAGCTGCAACTAACCAGAGAAGCAAGCAACAAGCAAAAAAAGGGTTAAAAAACGGATTTGCATATTTATATTTGTCTCATAAAATATAAAATGCATGGTGTAATTCTGACTATTTTCTATTAAATCAGACGTGATATATCAAGATATCTTTTATTGAAAAGTGAATTATGTTCCAAAGCACACATCACATGTTTAACTATAAAGGTGCTGGCCAACTTTTGTGAAGAACGTTTCGCCTTACAGATCAGACACAGTGGCGGGATTTTTTATAGGCATGACATATTGGAATCTAGCAAAGATATATTATAAATCAACACTCAAAAGGTTATTAAAGAACTTAATCAGAAACGTCATGGCACTGGACTGACTTTCCACTGTGCGCTCTGGATGATGCAGCCTAGATATTAAACGGCCTGTGCCCCGCAGGCTGACAGAAACAGAGGGAGAGGGGCGGTTGCTCTCCAGATGAAAGTGACATGAAATAAAAGAGTCGATTTAATCTGCTTGAAGAGATTTGAGGAGCAAGTGGTGGAGGAGGAGCGGAGGAGGGCGTGAGTGTGCGGAGCTGTGCGCAGTAGTTGGACGAGTGGCCGGGGCCCCCATTGTGAAGCTGTGCTCCGGGCCAGACCGGGGCTCTCCGGGAAGAACATTGGTCCCCATTCACCAAAACGCTCTTTAATACACCCCTCCGTCATTAAATGTTACATAGCACAATATCGACATCATTTAGAAGACATTATTAATGTGCGAGGGGGCAAGGCCGAGTCTCATCTAAGAATCAATAACAGATCATGAGTTACACGCTCACTATTAGTGTCATCCAGCGACGCGGGAAAGTCCGCTTTGTTTTGTTGGCCAATTAGAAATAGAACATTATGACAAACACAGCAATTAGACCATCAAACGCTACTGGATCGGACAATGTAGATATATTCTATTTTAAATCGCTAGGATTATATAAATGTACCAAGGCACCAAGAAAGTAACCAAAGTTTACTGACGTCAATAATAAACTCCGTAAAATATAGGTAGACCTAAAGAGGCAGCACAAAACCTAAATTATAGTCATGTGCGTGTGACTGGGATTAGTCTCATTGTTAGTTTACTTCAGTTCCACTTTCTCTCAAATACATGTGCGCTCTCTGGAAGGATGCGCCCTGATCAACACATATTGCATCCCTCATTTTACTGCTTTGAAAATGGCACGTTTTAAATCGAGGGTGTGTTTAATGCGCATTTTGGTGCGTACATGTGTGTAACCGCGTGTGCGCAGGTTTAAGGGGCGAGCACGCATCCTTGGGCAATACGTGAGTGGATTTCAGAGGCCTCAATTGTCCTTCTGAATGGCAGTCGGCGTCTTTAGCCGATTCCAAAAGGAAACATTTTGTAGGTGAAAACGGCCATTTTCCCTCCAAACCGTGCCGATGCGCTCCTTGAATAATTCATCCTTCATTGCGGCCTCATAATGTGTTTTGTCGGGCTTTTCTGTGGAGAAACTCTCCTCTCCCCTTCATTTTCTCTGACTGACTGAATTATAAACAGGCTGCCTTCTTCTTTAGCGCCAGGCAAAGCTGTTTTCCAAGCTGGCCTTTTGTCCGCACACAGCCCAAGCGTGAGCCTCAAATAGACTCTGGCGCCTTTGTCTCCCAAGTTCATCCGTGAGCATCCTGTTGTGCGCGCAAGGCGTCTTTGTCATGAGATGGAAACCGTTGAACAAATGTTTGATCAACTCATCTGAGGGACATTTTGTCTCCTCAAACTAGGGCCCGCTATCTCTCCTCCCCTATTTTGCTGATGCACAGACCAAGAAAGTGCGCACAGGGAAATGGTGGGCTGAATGTTGATAGCTTCTTAAACTGTTTAAACAAAGTGGACAGACAAGGGATGGGAACCTGTTGAGCACATAACTGACTAGCTCACTTATTGACTTGAATGTTTAAATATGAAACATTTATAAGTTTAAGTTATAATATCGCAGCACAGTTTGGTCTCTTGTGTAAAACTCGTCGGCCATTCGACTGTAATTCAGGTTTTAAAGAGAAAATGTATGTGTTCATTTCGGAGGTTCATTGGAAAGTCGTGGCACATTTCCACTCAATCACGTGGTTAAAAAGTAATGACATTCAAGTCTATTAGACTTAATTTAAGTACACCAGGGGAAAAAAACGACTTAAACTGTATTAAAACACCTCATTTTAATTATTTCACTTGATTAAAAATAGGATTTCTGACAAAATGAAAGAGTTAATAACTTGTCCAGGGGCGGCCACTTTTTTTTTTACAGTGTGCGCTATTGTTGGAAACATTAATAAAAACTGATTTGTTGCATAAAATAATGACCATACGATAAACAAACAGCTTACCACCAAACAACCAAAGAATAAATATGTGAAATATATTTTCAGAATGTACCAGAGGATTACACCTAAATACGGTGGATACGTTTAGAATTGTGCGGACGCTGCGTCCTTGTAATTTTCTGATTAAAGAGTTTCAAAAGTATGTGCATCCTACTGTGCAGACTATCTGTAACATGGCTGTCCATCCGCACTGCTTTTAGACCACTACGCACGCACGCACGCACACACACACACACACACACGCTTTTTCCCGCACAGAGCCATCACCTGCTGTTTGATTTACGGTACAGCCTCATGGGAAACGCATTAGCCAGAGAGATATGGTCGATAAAGAATTCCTAACAAAGGAGGACACACACACTCCACCCCCATCCAACAATTTTACAGCATGCTAAAACACCACACAGAGGCTGGTTATACAACAAAACACAACTATTGTACTTCACACCCAAGGGCAATCAACAGGTTGCAGGTGTGGAGCCTGATGACGTGGGTTTCTGCAAAATGGGGTTGTAGTCTACTCATCTATAAAGTAATTCACTGGAAATTATATCATGTTTGCACCTTCACTACACAAATATTTAACAAAGTAAGCATTAAATATACGATTTGGCAACTGACTACTTAACTTAAATTAGGTATCGTTCCACTGGCCTGGGTCACTGATACCAAACAGCTAGTTTGTCTCTTTAGCAACAAGTTGAGGAGTTCACTTACATCTGTCTCCTAAAATGCCTTCAATGCTGTGTTTGGCCCTCCGGTCGTTCTCCTCCATCTCTTTCTTCTCAATTTCATCTTCATCCTCTTCTTCATCGCCTTTCCCCCCGAACTTACTCCGCATGATGCGACTGATGGAGCTCACTGCGAGTCCGTTAAGGAAATGGAAAATGAGTTACAAAAATTAAAAACTGCTGTGTCAAATAAAGAAAGAAATAAAACGATGCGAAACTAATGAGCCCTAAACATGAAAAAGTCTGTAAAATGTTTAATATGAAATAAATCGGGAATAAAATATCTAAAAAAAAATAACACACTAAAAAAAATTCGGAGAAAACTTTTGATCACTTTCTGAAGTAGTATATCATAATAATAATAATCATTATTATTATTGTTGTTGTTGTGAAAAGTAGTTCATTTCAGCCGTCGTTTACCTGAAGGCACGTTGTTGCGGTCACATATCCCATCCTTCAGTAGTTTATCCCGGATCTCCCAGCTAAACATACCCGGGTTTTCCCTCTTGTACTCTTCTATTCTCTTCTCCACGTCGGGCGTTGTTCCCTGCTTCAAAGGTCAGATAAGTCGCAGTGTTTATTCACTTTGCTGTGGCCCTTGGGGCACTAAAAGCATTCTGAGCTTATTATAACTTAAAGATCAACAGGTTACTATGATGTAGCCCATCAAAATGCCACATGTTAGTTTATTTACGCTATCGTAAAGTCTGCAAATAGATCTTTTCTTATAGTGGTTTGGTGTTAAGCCTTGATTTCCAACAGGTCGATTTGCTCTCTCGGGTCCATACCTTGGGTTTGCTGCCTCCGATGGCCCCGGGTCTTATGGAACCCGTCTCCTGGTACCGGCACAGGATTTTAGACACGCAGCCGTGGGAGACCCGGAGCTGTCGGGAGATGACACACGGCCTAATACCGTGGTGGGCCATCTCCACGATCTTATGTCGGATGTGGTTGGGCAAAGGTCTGCCATTTATGAAAACTCCTCCGAGCTGGTTCACTCGACCTTGACCCAACGGGGTAGACACTATTTATTCAAAATATAAGAGGGATTTGTCACCTGAGTGATCCAGGCTTTTATACTCCACACAACAGTCCAGAAAAGTTTACAGACTCCAACTTAACACCAACAAAGCAGCTGATTTATTTTACTGCTCCATAAACAGCTGACAATAAAAGCTCAGTTTATTAAAATGTGAGAAATAATATAACTGAACGTTGTAGAACCATTAAAATGATTTATGAAAATACAAAATAGCCTGTGTTAACGAGGTGATAGGCACAGACCATATCCTTTTAAGTGTGTTGAAAGTTGCAAACTGAAAAAAAAAAAGTAAAATACACTTTCAATACAAAATGAAGAACTTATGAATGAAGATGTAATTATTTCAAATTTTAGATCCTGTAACTGTATAAGGTTTGTGTTTCTAACCCGGGGTTGGGAGAAGACTGAACAAACTATCCATGGCCACATTAAAACTGACTTTTGACCAGCCTAGCCCTGCAACCCCAGTGTCCTCTGTCAACATCCAGGGTAGCAAACCGTCCTGTCGGCTGTGTGGTGCGTTACCTTCCAGTGGGAAGCCACTGCGGGGGTAGTTCTGAGCCAGCGTGGGTCGCATCATCCTGGGTATTGACCCCGCCAACGCAGTCATACCTCCAACACCCCAGTAAAGATCTCCTTCTAACTGGGAGGCTGCTGCTCCAACGCCGAGTTTGCAACAGGAGGACGTCGTTTAAAATCGTCTTTTCGCCTGTGAGAAGCTTCCTGGAAGATTAGCCTCGGTTAGCTTCGGTTGGGGTTAGCCGCACCCGGGCTACAGCCGAGCACCAGTGTCCCGGGGCAGCCACAACCCCTTGAGAGGTCCAATTTGAAGAGGGAAAATGAAGAATATCTGGTTTGGGGATGTTCAAAGGAGTTACCTTCTCAGTCTACTGTTTTAATCGCCAGTAGTCCTACTGGGACTCTTGGCAGTGTGTTTGCCAAGGCTGTGATACTAATGCTGTTGTTGTTATTTGTTGACACCGGTTCAAAGTGAAGGGAGACCGTCAAAAGTAGCAGAGCTCTTCTCTGTCCCCCCCCCGCGTCAGCGCTCCAGACTGTGATTGGTCGAACCCGTACATCCGTTGTGCGGCAAAGAGCGAGGATTGGCCGAGGCTGAAAACTTTTGTCCAATCAGATGGGCTGTCGCAGTTCGGGGGCGGACAAGACTGAGGCGTCAAAACTCAAAGCTATGTCAGAGTCATACCACCAAAAACTCTTGAGCTCCGATTTGGGCGAACTACTGAGGGGAATGTGGAGGTATAGGCTAATTATCTGGTTAAGGTGATAAGTTAATCACAAAGCTATTTAGCACTGAGGCACAGATATATTCTGATGTGAGCTTGTTCCAGCAAATCACTGTCGGTTAATCATCTTTCCCCTCCATTCAAATCTTTTAAAACGAATACAGGATAGAATTTAGCTCTGCATACACAGTGGGCCTATGCCAAGTAGTTTACTACATAAACTATTGTATGGGGTAACAAACAAACTTTTTAAAATGAATTCTACATTTCTTTAACTTTTGCCTGTGATTATTTGTCTCTAAGGAAGTGCAAATATTAGAAACGCTTTATAGGCCAATAGATTACCACCACTAAACACTGCATCAAAATAATTTCAGAAATACAACGTAAGAGTCTCTGTCCCTATTTGTTTGCATATTCATTAACAACTGAGTCAATCTCTGGCTCTATTGTAACACCAACATCACCAGCCACGTTGTCTTGACAAAATTCAAAGGTGACTGACAAATCTTTCCGTTTTGGCCCGTCTATTGCGCACATGCACAGATGCATTCCATTGTTCGTGACATTATCTTTGACTTCGGCTGGTTTCCACTAAGTTAGTTTGCTTCCGCTCACCTATTAATTAAAACCAAGATTTAAAAAAAAAGTTTGATAACAGCTTTATTCAGCTTCAGGCTATGGTATAACATAATATGGGAAATATTCTTATGAGGTGGAAACCAAAATTGGATGACTTATGCCTTTACTGCTGACTGATTAAATAGAAATAGGAATTTCATTTAGGCCTATTGTCCGTTTTGTCACCAGTCTGCGCGTAATGACATCTCTAAACTGTTTAATGCATGCTATCGTGCACGACCCCTAATTTGTTTCCACTCCATGGCCTCATATATGACACAAATGGTGCTAAAGTGTGTACACCTCTAGGAATTTATTATGGTTTTCAGACACAGCACCAGCCAGCCGAGAAAAGTCTGAAGGGGGACTTGCGCCACAGCAGGATACGACGCCAGGGCGGCCGTAAAGCCAGTCTAGCTTTGTGCCACTATTCAGACGAGGGTGTATTCTCATCCCCAGATGACTAATAATCAATATAGTCACCGCCAAATAAAGAGAATAGGGGAGCGAGCTGGTAAAGTTCAGCCGCAGTCTTCTCTCATTGAGAATCGTGCAGCATCCTTTAGTTCCTAATCAATCACTGAAGCAATGGCTGAGCGCTTTGAAACCAGACAAAAGCTGGTCTTACTTCACTGTCCATCACCCACAGAATGGTAACTTCGTCCTCGCAGTGTGATTATCAAAGTTGATCCCTGGACCGTTGCGCGAGAAGAACCTTTTTTTCCCAAAAGAATAAAAAATAAAATGTAATTCTCATTAATTTAATCCCTGATTTTGGACGCATGGCAGAGCAGCATCAGAACCAGCCCTTCATGTCATGGTGGAGTTTAAGGTAGTACGTGTCCAATGCAACAGCGAATTTATAAATGCAAGCTCTAAATTTAAAAGCAAATATGAGCCCGATGGAAATTATAATAAGTGCTTTTAGGCTATGTTTTCTGTCTCTGTGTTTAGTCGACGCCTTGAAGGAAAACACCTAAAACCTTCGTGTAATTTATACAAGACTAAAGCTGAAAAACACCCCTGCACCTGATCGGCCCTTTCATGTTTTAATCCTCCCACCTATGGACTATGGAAGCGTAACGGACACCCGATGGGGTTCCAGTTAAATCACTGTCATTCACCTTCATTTACGCAGGGAGGAGATATCCTACAGGATAACTAGGTTTCAATTAACATTCACTTCTTCTATGGCTTTTGGAAAAACGCACTTCAAATGTTGTGCTTGCTGTCAAAAACTTGGGAAGACAATGGGTAGCCGCTGAGTTTAGAGTAAGCAGGGTGAACGGGGGGTCTTTCTCCTGCTAGGTTGTCATTATCTTCTGGCAAAAGGTTATTATCATACCCACAGATGGATGAATTCTGCGAGTTGGCATAGCGTGGCTTTAAAGACAGGGGACGCGTCAGTTTGTTTTTGATTGATTTTACATTTGTAAAAAAAAAAACAGGTGAGCTATGAGGAATGGCTGGATTATGATGTAGGGCCTACAGCCTGATTCAGCCCTAACTCAAGCCAAATCGTAATGAAGTGGCAGGTGGGCAACAGGCTTTTACAGGCCTTATAATCCCAAAACGTAGACTTAAATGTTGCCAGCAATTTGAGTAAACCTGTTTCAGTAGACTCTAAAAGCTCTGTTAGGACTATTTATTTGCCTTTCTTGGATTGTATTATTCCTAAAACACACAAGTCTTTACGCTGACGAACGTGACAATTTGGGAATGTAAGTGATCTTACTGAAATTGGATGTTACAGCCAAAAAAACAGAGAGGCCAAATGGGAAACAGAGAGAGGAATGATACATGCCTCGGCCCTCTTTCAAGCGACACTGAATCTCCGTGTCCAATCCATTACCGGGGGATGAAATTCAAAGTCAGAAATCTCGCTTGATGAGAAATAAATTAGTTGCATCTCATGCACTGCATGGAGGCCATTCACAAACACATATTTGTCAGATCAGATAGTTTTCTATGCGTCCTACTGCGGTAACACTTAACACATACTGACTCAGAGAAGGTGCTTCTACACCACAGGCCTCATTTCAAAGATCAGTACTGTACTTTTTATTCCACTATTTGGTGACTTAACAACTTTACCTATAGCCTAAAACAAAGGTGTGACTTACAGTATGATGTAGTTTAGTCATTAATCCATCAGTAACAATATTCCAGTACTAATATAGGTCACATGACAAATATTACACCGCTAGTTCCCATTTTACTTTTGATATCTACAAAAGGTGGCTCATAATATTTCAGATTATGACTTATAGCTACTAAGTGTGGGGCTTCAGAGGGATCTTATACAGGCTAAACCTATTATTTCATTAAAATACGGTAAGAGGCTATTAGGGCTACTTAACAGACAAAGTCGTTATTGGGCTTCATTTTTTTATTTGCAATATAGGTTAGTCACATTTCTTTATAGACTAACATCGTTTTAACTTTTTAAAAATAGACTACTCGTAGGCCTACACTTAGACCTACTATTTTTTAAATGTTTCGGTTTGTTGCGTGTTTTATAGTGTAAGTTCATTTGAAAGTTTTTTTAAGCTGAATGTCCGAGGAGAGCTGTTAAAAACCATTAGCCCAGCATCCTTACAAAAACAGGTGTGATGTGGTTTGTTGTCACGGCTGTTTTGCAGAGTAATCAGTCTAGTATAGCTGAGAAACGCAGCCAGACTATGATACAATAGGTTTTAGTGCTGTGCACGGAACTGACCAGTTAACAGCTTTGTTTACATGGTGATGAGGGTATGAGAGAAAGGTTGGGACTGTATTATTAGAGGAATTTACTGTATGACAGCATTAAGTTATGGGGCAGAGAACACCTATTTAATACTTGATGTAAGTCGTAAATAGCAGCCAGTCATTAGATGGTGAATGGTCCACACAGGTTTTTATCTAATCTGTTTGTTTGAGTGAAAATCTTACTGCTGAATAGCTTCATTTATTTATTTCAACTATACAGGGAGCCTTGTATGGACAGGTAAACACGTAAGACACATTTATATTAAACAGCACATCAGCATCCAGTCCGCACTAAAAAAAAAATATTTACTTTCAATCAAGCTTTGGCCACCAGACCTACATGAGAAATGCAACCAAGTTGAATCGGGCGGTGGGATTTCTCTTTTTAGAGCATGCAGCATCCTTTGTCCTCCAGTAGGGGGCGTTTGTACTGCACAGCAAGATGCTAAATATGTCAAGTTGAATCATGTTGAGTTTATTACCAATCATTATGTAAGATAAGGCGTGAGAAAAACACAGCCTTGGTAACGGGCTTTTCTTACAGCAGCTGGTTTCACTGCTGAGACAAATAATGAGTGCAACGATTATTCATGTTTTCTTTATTACTGAAATGTGTTTATGTATGTAAAACAGCACATAAAGAATGTTTCTCTGTGCAATTACATGTTCTACTTTAACAACAACCACAGATTCTCATAAAAACCAACATCTTCTAGGTCCTCTGAAAGAAATACAATATGCTTACATTTGTCAAAGGTATACCCCGTTATTTGTGTCAAATAAGAGGGTGAAAGTGCATCATCAAGAAATTGGGAAAAGACTGAACCAAATGATTGAAGCAAGCATTAGAATCGAACTGGATGTGGTGGGGGGTTAAGAATCATGTAGAACTGTTCTTTGCTTTGTCCTCGTGCGGTGAGGTAGGGATACCATGATTGTGCAAGGGCAAGCACTTGGTTTAATGTCCAAATTCTACACTAAAACAGAGTCAGGAAGGTCTGGGAGCCGGGACATAACACAGGAGTGCGATTCACATGCTCCATGGACCACAACAGATTTGTCAGTATGAGGGCTTTACACTGCAGCACAAATAAAATATCACTTTTAACCATATTCAAGAATTAGAAATAAATAATTGTATAGATTGTAGCAAGAATTACATACACAGAATTTACCAACAGTTCACAGTAACATTCATAATAAGAAGTCTGCCCACTACAGGCCCTTGAGTTTTAGCTTTATTTGATTGCATTGCTTTGTCTGAAGCTGATTTCACTGAAAAGTCAATTCAGTGTTTTTGTTTTGACAGTGCACATCTGAGGTTAAAAAAAAAAGATATAAAGCTAGTTATATGAACTTTTAGCTTGGTAAAGTTTTATATTTGCATTAAGTTTGTGAAGGGATTAACTGTATAAAGAAGATTCTAATCTCAGCTACAACTCATGGGGATCTTTAGGTTTCCAGAGGTAATTATGGCTCCTGACAGCCTCTGGGGAACCAGATCCAGGTTTTTTCACTATGTCTGACCTGTAAAGATATATCACTAGACTCTCGTATGTGGCTTTGAGGGAAGCAGAGGAATGAGTTTGAACATGGAAGCAGCTGAAGATGGACTTAAGCCTGAATTCTATTTAATACTTAGACTATAAATACATCTCTCTTTGACCTTCCTTCAAAGCCAGATACAAAAACCTCACATTTTTTAAGTATAAAAAGGTGCTCCATCTTGGAAACCCCATTTTCAAGTTCCGATGTGTAAATGATGTGACAGGAGGAGGAATTCCCTGCTGGATGCTATCAGTGGCGGGAGGCCGGTGATTACAGTGTAGTTTTGCTTCATTCAGCAATGAAGTGAGGCACACAATTCAGGAAACACTGTCCCTTCTAGTACACAATTAAAAACAAAAAGCCTTGACCTTTCAGTAGTCTAACATGCACAAAAGTAGCCAAACACATGGTCAAAATCAGAAGCTTTCTTTGTACGACCTTTGCCTGGAAGAGTTTTCATTATGACAATGTAAATAGTGCCATCCTGCAGGACTGGTTAAAGCACAGGGATCAGGAAGGTCATCCACTCCTTCTCTGTGGACTATTTACAGTTTGGATTGTGGATTCTTTGTAACTAAATGATATGTCAGAGGCTTCTCACATAACATAGAAGCCTCCATAAAAGCCACTCTACTGCCTGAAACCTCAAAGTGAACATTGCCAAATATTTGTACAATACAATAGTGCTTTGTTGAGATATAAGAGTGAATCACCATGGACAGTTATCATACAGTGAGTGGTACAGTGAGTGGGATATGCATATTAGTCAGCAGGATAAGGTTAGGGATGGTATCAAACCCTGGACATTAGCACTACACATTCAGCCATCAAACTATCCAACCACAACTCAGACACTGGGGTCTAAATTTTAAGTTCACTCATCAGGATTCCCAGTCAACTGGGCCTACTGCAAATTCAAGTGCACGACTTAAGGAAAACATTATCAAGGGTCATGTTGGCCTATTGCTCCAAACAGCATAAAGGCCTTTGGGTGTTTGCTATACTGATAAAAGGCCATTTTGGACAAGATGTATTTATAAAAAAAAAGAAGTAAAGGGAGCAGGATTATCAGTTGCCAATACTATGTACATGATCACACACCCACACCAGAGCATCTCCATCAGTAGTCAGAGAGCCTATCAGGCGTTCCTCCGCGAATTACTGGTGGCGGATGAGCGGCCTGTCTCATGGTCCGGTCTGTATTTGAGCCAGCAGATGAGCCATGTGACGACCACGGAGAACATGGCCAGGATGCTGGCTAACGACAAGCAAATGGGTCCCGCCGGCGAGGGAGGAATGCTGTGACTGTGCACAAAGATCAGGCCCATGAACAGCAACACCAGCATGGACAGAAAGGAGAAGATCACGCAGACGCAGCCGGTAGTCAGCGCCACTCTCTTGCAGCTCTGACAGCTGTCGTAGCGCACCGAGTCCTGGGAGAGGGTCGTGGCCGTGGACACGGTGGTGGACGGCGTCGCCTGGCTGGCGCTGGACGTCCCCGACGCCTCCTCCCGGCGAAGAGCGACAAGAGCTGGGTGCAGCGGGGGAGGGTAGGGCGGTAAAGCGTCCTGGGGCAGAGGATCCGAGTCGATGTAGAGCGGAAAATCCTCTGTCACCTTGGTGTTGTTTGGCAGGTTTTGTATCCGATATTCCGGCACTGGAGTCCGGTGGCGACAGACAGGGCAGCTGATGCGCCATGGCCGCTCCTCCCGGAGGTGAAGCGTATTCAGGCACTCCTCGCAAAACGTGTGCAGGCACTCTAGGATCTTAGGAGCTCGGCGGTCAAGGTCGAAATAATTGTAGCAGATTTTACATTCGTACTCCTCGTAGGGAAACGCCGAGGAGGCCTCACCGGGGGGTTCTGCTCCGTTTGATGCCAAATCTACCTCTGCCATGTCATCTTTCGCCATTCACATTCTCCGGTGAACACAAAGGGAGCTAGCGGACAGATGCTGATGACGGTGCACGTCTCTCCTCCTCTCCCCCTCCTCTCCTCCCCGTTCATTGAAACGCCATCATACTTTATAATCCTCACAGTGTCTTTACCGAAGAGTGGGGCGTCTTCTGTTCGGGCTAAATGCCTGGGATCCCGTTTAAATATTAAAACCTCCCATTTCGTGTTCGGCTGTGTGGAAATAGATGATGTAATGGCGGTGACTCCGATGCGCGCCCGAGCATCCCACAAAACAGAGAAAGAGGCGGCGGTGTGTCGCCTTAAAGTCCTCGTAAAGAGAGACAGTGTGTTGTTGTTGTTGTTTTCAGTGATCCGGGTGTGCACGGAGCAGCTATGACAGCTTGCTCGTTCGCAATCAGACGATAGGATGCGCTGATTTTGGTCAACCGGGGGCGTCGATTCACGGTTTCCTGTGACAAAGAGCATCAACTCTCCAGTGTACCAACAAAAAGTTCCATTCAAATGTGCCAGGATTTGGCTAATTTTGTAAAATTCAGTAAATGCAACAGTCAGTTAAAAAAGCACGTCTGCAGTCTAGTTAAACTGGGCAGCTAATAATAAAATGATTAGTTCAGAAGCTACAGCTAATTCAAAGAATGAGACAGAGGACAGCCTACTATAGCCTAGTACAGTGGTTCATGACACCTGGGGTCAGAGTGTCCATAAACTTTCATTCTAAAGTCTGCACACCTTTAAAAAATGCCTCCATATACCATGTTAACGGCTATTAAGGCTTTAAAAATGGAGTTTAAAGATTAAAATTAGAAAAATTCTATAACATTAATGATTAAACTTAATTTGATATGTTGGTAAAAGTACAGCATATTCATTAACTTCATTCATTCATTCATTCATTCATTCATTCATTCATTCATTCATTCATTCATTCATTCATTCATTCATTCATTCATTCATTCATTCATTCATTCATTCATTCATTCATTCATTCATTCATTCATTCATTCCTGACTTCAGGTCACAAGATTTGAAGTCAGAATTGTGTAGCTAAAACTACCCATAAGAGGTTTTTACACTGGTGACCAAGCTATCAACACACAGATTAAACTTTTTGATATAGGTCCCAGGTAGATAGGCCTACTTTCAACTTGTGCTCTCAGCAGTATCATGAAGAATTAAATCTGCTCTCTGTCTGCAGGCAGTTGTTACATGTGCACCTACAATATCAAATGACTTGGAAAGAGGCTTATGTAGCATTAAAGGCATTGTTTGCTGTACACATTATGGTCACTATACTGAAATCACCAGCTGGGGATAGTGGTTCCTTACTGGTATAGTTGAAGAGTGCATAGGCCCAGGAGACAAAACAGGGTATTGGCAAAACTGAGAAGTTTATCAGTCAAGTATTGGGCATACAGTACCCGTAGAAGCCTATGCTAACCCTAACCTATTACTGGGCTGCAGTGGGTATAGCTATACATCTACAACCAGCCAACTCCATGTCAAGCTGTAAAACATGCTGCACAACCCCACCAAGCAGCACCCTCAGTACCCTGTCCCCCAGGTCTGCCTCATAAAGTAAAGGTATTCCCTCCTATTTACCTTGATAACCTCATTAGTATGCTACTTAACCATGTGTGAAGTTAGACAGTAATTTATACTATATCACAGAACAAGCTAGCACAGCATCCTCAAGATACTAAGGCTGAGAGAACAAAAAGGAAAGAGAACGAATGCAAACATGAAAAAGGAACGTGTACTTATAAATAGAGAAATATGTAAACATACAGTTTAGATGCATTTTCCAGATTGATATATACAAAGGTATGTTTACAAGTATTGCACTGAGGGTTGTTGTTCTATTATACCCAACATGCTGGCAGAAAAACAATTTCATAACCCAGAAGATCTGGGCTAGAGTCTTACATATTGTCCTGTCACATCCCAACTCAGATGCACAATTTACTACAGAAGGACATACACACACAAGCCACACTCTTCATTCTCTTATTTCTATATCATAACTTACAATAAAACCTAATTGAATCTCATATCAGCCTGGTTTGGTGCTACTAATCTTAAACATTATTTAAAATTTGATTTGATTTATTCTTTCAAGCATGTAAAGACAGTTGATATGTCAACACACATAATTTTACACATATCCAACAAATGCTAATCCAATATCAATTTGCTTATACCTAGTACATGCTTGAATGGAGTAGGAAGAAGTCAGACTTATCCAGTCCTACCCCATGACATCATCTTACATCATTGGTTTGCAAGCAGTAAATGATTCACTTCTACCACACAAGTATTATACTAAAAAAACAGTCTTAACATTCTTACATAATTACATTCTTAAATAATTATCTTCTACACCACACAAGTAATATACCAAAGAATTATTACAAAGTGTACACCACACCCACAATTGTCCATGTAATAATCATTGAGCCTGTTCTTGCATATATCTTGATTGACACATACCTTTATATTTATGTTTAAACACGTCAATTCTATTACTATTTTTTATGTCTACACTTAAATTATTCCATAGTTTTACCCCACTTATGGAAATACAAAATCTTTTTTTGGTTGTATTTCCATAAATTCTTAGCAATGACAAGATACAAGTTCCACAAACGTCCTGAGTATATGCACCATCTTCCTTTTGCTTGGAGTAAAACGCCTCGTGATAACAATCCAACCATCCCTGTCTAAAGGTCGGACAAATGTTAACTTCTCAAGACAATCGGTTTTGTCCCCTCCTAGTCCCGCCCCATGCGCACATCTGTGGCGCGCAGCAGCCGCACCTGTGTGCGGCTCTGCGCCCAGCCCATGAGATGATCACTTTCCATGACCTCACCTGTTCAGAAAATCTGCGCTCGTCCGCTTGTGTTTCTTACACCTGACATGCTGGCGCTCTCGGCTTACCTGAATGACTCGGAGCTCGTGGCCCGGTTCCAGAGACGATGTGGGCTCTCCCTCGTCGAAGCAGCACATCACGGCCGAGGGAGGTGCGCTCCCACAGGAACCCCTGTTCACGCCGAGAAGTTACGTAGACAGCTGAAGGGAAGATGTGACCACGAGGACGCCAATTCAAACTATAAGTACAAAGAGAATGGATGTGCCGTTGCTGTAAGTCTTTTACTACGAATGACTCGGTATATAAAGTGTATTGAACCTTAAAAAGTACATTTAATTAAAATAGAAACCATACGGGCCACTGGAGGGATGAGGCACATCTGCATTTGGTTGCCATAGCATTCGAGATTCATTTAAATGACAAAATGGACAGTGTTTTGGTATTGGACCTCTAGTTTGCCTTATTGTAAATCACTGTTTGAGTCTTTGGAAAATCTGAAGTAAACTTACACACACACACAGATTTATTAGGAGGCCTATAAAAGTGTATCAAACAACCATTTAGTGGTTTTAAGGGATTGTGCAAACTTAACTGTAACTGGCTTTTCCTGTTTGTCTGGTTGCCTCTGTCAAATATCAGATCCTTGTGTCCTCTCAGACAAGCTCGGAGGGGTGTTTACATTCTCCTGTCTGTTAAAGTGAAGATACAGTCAAGTTATTTTATGGTTTAAGAATGCTGGATTTGTTGATATGTGAATGAATTGGGTCACCTGTTGGCAGTGTTGACCAGTGACACTGAATCCCCAAAAGTCAATATTGATTCCTTTAAAAGCCTGTGGAGCTCCAGCTGCAATGTTTTCTGATACTGGGAGTAAATAAAAAGTGTAGATAATGTGGTTAAAGTAGAAACTGGCATTTTTCAGATAGATCAGACACAACATGAAACTCATAAGAAGGCAAAAAGAAGCTGTGTAATGTCTTCTTTGGCAAAACATAAAAAGTGAAACGACGATTAGTTGCATTTTGGGCTTGTAATCAAACAGAACTAATACTAATAATCCTCAGTCTTTTGTAAGTTGACTTAACTTTCTAGACTTGAATACGTCTCCTGAAAAGCAGGTTCTTTATGATATGAATTGTTTGATCATACAGGCAGGTGACAAATTAAAGGAAAAAGTGAATAAACGTCTCTTCCAGGATGACAGTGCCCCTATCCACAGGGCAGAAGGGGCCACTGAATGGTTTGAGTATGGAAAATAATGTGAATCATATGGTCTTCACAGTCACCAGATATCAACCTTAATTAACACTAAGACTCTTTGTTTCTTCTTGGATTTGTCACCTGTCTGTGTGTTGTGCCTGTGTTTAT